CCCCCCCCCCCCCCCGAAAAATATACGTTACAGTTTAAGACAATGATGGATGAAGAATTCTAACAAACCAAGAGAGAATGAACGGAAAGGAAGCGAGTGAAAGTAAAATAAAAAAAGCCAAACAGATAGGATATCTGTTTTATTATACAATTTATTGACACTACAAATTGTGTCTAATTAATCCTATTCGCTGCTGTTTCGCACTCAGTTAACATTTAGCCATTTAATGCCGGCACATGATCCTCACATAAAAATAAATCGATAGTCTCATTTGATCTAGAGACTGACCGAATTTCGATTTGGCGAAAGTTGCCGTGTGATAATTTTCGGCTTCGTTTCGGTTGAAAAAGAAAAGTTAATTTTTTTGGTTTATTTTCGGTTTCGCCGAAAGGGATTTTAAACTTTCGGTCGTCTACCAGAAGTCAGACTGTCGCTCTGTCTGTCTGTCGGCCCGCAATTCAATATTCACGATTGGTCGTCGTCTTGCTTTCATGGTATGATATATGATTAATCATCTGCGAACTCTGCTCACAGATGCACGGCGACTCATTTTTTTTGTGTCCAATCTTTCCACACACAAAAATAACAAATATGCTTGAGGTAATGTAAAGTAGTTTGTGGGGGAAAAAAATAGAATGGTAATATTTCTATTATTATTTTCGTTTTAAATTTGTAATCAGTTTGAACCCGACGCTTATTCAATGCATTCATTTATTGACATTCATCTTATCAGGCTTATTGGCATTCATCTTATCAGGCTTATTGACATTCATCTTATCAGGCTTATTGGCATTCATCTTATCAGGCTTATTGACATTCATCTTATCAGGCTTATTGACATTCATCTTATCAGGCTTATTGACATTCATCTTATCAGGCTTATTGACATTCATCTTATCAGGTTAATTGACATTCATCTCATCAGGCTTATTGACATTCATCTTATCAGGCTTATTGACATTCATCTTATCAGGCTTATTGACATTCATCTGATCAGGCTTATTGACATTCATCTTATCAGGCTTATTGACATTCATCTTATCAGGCTTATTGACATTCATCTTATCAGGCTTATTGACATTCATCTTATCAGGATCTTAAATGTTTCCATTGACTACGAAATGAACTTTTAAATATCACATACCATTCGTCACGTGATATGGACACACAAAAAAAGAATAATAATTAACGTATTGCAATAATATCAAGTACAATTATTTATTTTAACATTGTATAAATATCCAGACATTAGCCTATAAATCAAAAGCCTCGTGTTTGCGTGCATCACTGTTCTGTATAATAGTTATGGAGTAAACCTACTGTGCGCAGAACGTGTGCACGAAAGAGTTTAAATACCTAGTTATATATTGTTATTTTTAACTTTCGGTTTGGAACCAGAAATTCACATTCGGTCGGTCTCCGATTTGCACCCATCACTCGGCAACACCCAACGGTTAAAGTCCGTCCTCATTCCACGACGAACAGGTGGGTTGGCTGGTACTCACGACTGACAACTGAGCAGACACCAACAGGTGGGTTGATTGGTACTCACGACTGACCACTGAGTAGACACCAAAAGATGGGTTGGCTTGTCCTCACGACCCTTTCAGCTGCGCGCCTGCGCAGCCGCGCAGCTATCTCACAGTCATCGTGCAGCAGCTTTGAGTATCCGCGCAGCAAATTTCAATGTAAGTGTGTGTTTGTGTTAGTGGGCTGTAAAATTTTGCACACAAAAAATTGATGCTGTAAAACTTTGCACACAACTGTATGACTTTGCACACGAATCAGCAAACCTTAGAAGGAACATTGCTCACGACTGACCACTGAATAGACACCAACAGATATACAATAACAGAATACCTGCTCCCTTACTTACTCTGTTTATTTGTTTCATAGTTGTTGTTTTTTTTACTGTTTCTGTCTCAACGTAAATCTTCAAGGCCGTTTTTTTTTCAACACATGGTTTTAAAATGGACTTCCTTCTCTGCGTGACAAGATTTATCTCTTTCTACCTTTACATCCACACAATGGCGTAGCTTGAGGGGTCCGCCCGCACCGGAGGACGCCGTACAAATATATTTATATATATTCTAAAAAGATGATATTTTACATGTGATATCTAGTATTTAAAACACTATAGTAAAATAGTAAAACCTTTTAATTTATTTTAACAGTTTATTTCAGTTAAACATATACATTGAAATGATACTTGTAAATTATCCTAGATAGATAGATAGATAGATAGATAGATAGATAGATAGATAGATAGATAGATAGATAGATAGATAGATAGATAGATAGATAGATAGATAGATAGATAGATAGATAGATAGATAGATAGATAGA